CTATGGCTAGTTTAGAAAACAATGTTTGCCTTCTGTAAGCAAGAGTATCAAGCTTGTGTATGATTGGACAGAGCAATACGCAATAAACAAAAAAGGGTCATTGAGTTCAGAGAGAAGCTTAAATGTTGGTAGGGATATTTAAGATGTCCTGTAAGCTGGCAGGACAGTATCATCAATATGAGATGGTTTAATATGTTAATATGTGTCAGAGAAACCTCAAAACGGTAAAACAAATCTGTTATTTCTTGTTTAATTCCTAAAACGTTGACCTCTCTTAATCAAGAAAAACGTCCTTTTGGAAAATATGTTGTTCGACAAAGTCAAAAAAATCAAATATCCAGTCGGAATATCGGCAAATCACTTCAAATAGAATTAAAAAAAACATTTTAAATACATATCGTTCTTCCTCTCTGTGTATAAATCCATGATCTCTATAAAAACACTGTGCTTCATATCATCGCGTCCCGGAGCGCTCAGCTGTGGTCCGGTAGCTAAAAGAAGTCCCCAGACAGACAATAGAGAGCCAATACTACTAATCCGGCACGGCGGCTGACTTCCTGTCCACTTCCTGTTGTCACCCACACAGGAAGGAAGTGAGGGTCTTTGTGAGGCTTCCTCTATGAGTTCCTGTCCGGGACAATGGGAGCGTTTTTGGACTCAAGCCGCACCTTAAGGGTCTAACTCAGGGGTGTCCAAACTGCTATCTTGAATAGTCCCTCAGCAAATTAAAAAAGTATAAAGTAATATGGCCCACAAATGAAACTTGTGCTTGTCTTGTATTGTACTTCTTAACTATAAATGTATAAATATATGACACAGTAGTATTCATGTGTTACTGAGACCACTGTTCAAATAAATTCAGTTGATAAGAAAAAAGCCCAATTACAAGCTTGAAATACACCCTTCCTATTTCTCCTTATTATAATCAATCTGAGGGATGAGCTGCCAACACTCACAAGCATCCTTTACCTACATTTGATTATTTTTGCTAACTTATAACTGGACTTAAGAGGCGATAAACCTGAACTCTAGTGAGTGGACCGGCCCTTCGTATATTTTTCTCTATGTGGCCCTCGGTGAAAAAAGTTTGGACACCCCTGATCTTACTAGAGTTAGTTTGCTTAGGTCCAAACTATGTGAGGAAAAGCACACGCTCCTTGTTTACAAAGCCTAATTTTAAGTGAAGTGTCCTCCTGTTGGATGATATAATAAGCTGAACGTGACTCTTCTTCAGTGGTGTTCAAAAGCGCAGGGAAAAATATTTCACTTTGTAGATCTGTGCCAAAGATTCTCAACTTATCTTGAAGACCGAGGGTGTTTCTCAATCCCGAGTAAGGCTACTCCAGAGCCACTATTTCAAGCAAACTACGTCATTGAGTGCCGCCGAAGGACTGTTCCAATGTCCAGCATACTTGGAATTCTACCGAAGCCGTCGTACTTCGTAGCGAGAAATTTCGAGGCTGCACAAGTGTAGATTCCGCGGTCTTAAAATCCCCACAATGCTTTGCACACGGACCAATTTCCCAAATCTTTGGCGGAAATCGCGCTCCATTTAAGGCGGGGCCTCGCATATGAAGCACACCTGTTAGCCTGTTCCACAATTCTTCATTTTCCGAGTCTAGGAAGGATTCTTGCCTCGCTTCTGAAGCAAGTGACTCGGAAGACGTGTGCTACCAAGCAAGCGTCCTCGACATTGAGAAACACCCCGAGTGTGTCCTCAGTTTGCTTTCCTTTCCTTTTCTAAAGATTAGTAATTTCTGCCTATTGTCATGAAGACATATATTTGAATGCCTAAATGTAAGATCTACATACCTTCATTTAGTTTATACCAAATATAGAGGCAAAATCATAAAACGACAACTGCCACTGACGCACTAGATAGCAAATCTTACGCGGGAAATTAACCAATATCCAGGCAAGTCGTTTACTCCAATGATCCAATAACCAACATTACAATGACAATGGTTTTCCCTATCGTGCCCTTTTTGCCTCCTTCTGTTTTTATCCCCTAGTAGAAAAAACATTTGCCCAATCTGGTGCACTAATCCCACCACTACCTGTCTCCAACATATACATAATCACCAGGTTCCCAAAATAAAAACATATACTAATACTTAAATAATTGCACTAAATATATGAAACATCTACAACGAACGAAAACAGCAAGAAAGTAAATGTTTGTTGCAAGTAGCTACAAACTAGGGCAACAAGAACCCTTCAAACATTCGACATGAATTGAACTCCGCCAGAGAGCCAGCTCACGCACGAGCGCTGAAACTACTGTAGCTGGAGAGAAAGCCACAGGCAAGTGTTAGCAAAACTAAATTTACTTTTTCAGCCCAAAGCTATCTCTCTCAAAATATCCATGATTGTGAACTGACATCTTCATAAATTAGGTTCTTAACAAACACAACTCGGTAAGGCAGTAGCTTGAAATAAGCCTTCACATGGAGCTAATGACTTAATGCGACCGTGAAATTCATGATTTTGGTTGTGTCAACATTAATTTATTACTAACCATTTTGAAATGAAATGCTATTGTTGAACAGACTGCAATAGCCTATACACGTCGCTATACAGTAACTAGATTAAAAAAAAAATACAAACGATGGGAACATTGAAATGAAATGATTGAATTTATAAATTAATATGAAAGAAACTCATATCTTTAATCTTCCAAGCTTCCCAATAGATGAAATATACCAAATAATGCTAAAAACCAATGTGTATGAAGCCAAACACGTTAAGTTTAGGAAACTGAAACTTCAAGCAGCAACAATGTATTGAATCGTTTTAAAGAAATTAAACAATGGCTTCTGTATTTCAACATGTGTTGTCTAAGTACTTGTACTCTGAATGACGATGAATCTAAAAACGCTCAGTGATTGCAGGATGCCCCGTCAGATTTTACAATGAAGACAAGAAATGTCAACTGAGCCGAAGGGGCGGATTTCAATAAATAATGCACAACGTGTTATTTTTTGCCAAACAAATGAGTGAACAATATTCAGACCAGATGTAAGCAGGATCTCAGCGGTAACCGTCAAGTTCAAACCGAGGAACAGCGCTTCTCCATGAATGAGCAGGCGTACATTTTGACATCAGACTCGAAAATGAGGAACATTTTGACATAGTTTAACTCAAGAATCCCGTACAAAAAGGGATCCCTCGTCTGGGCTCATTTGCACCCTTTAAGTTTATTTATTTATTTGTAATATACTATTTTGTGTGTTCTTTCCCACGATGACTATAAGTATGGTATTCCTGTCATGCTATGTTTTTTCTTTATTATTTCTTGTTGGCTGTTCTGTTTGTCTTCTCTGTCCCTCCCCCCTCCATCTATCTCTCCC